GAGATCATTAATGCACCCTAACTCTTAAAAAATTACTTATGATCAATGGGGGTCAATATAGACCATATAATCAGGTGGTTAGGAAAATTATGTGTCAAACGATCAAAATGACCACCCAAAAAAACTATAAATAGGCCAAATTTCATAGCATGTTTTGGAGAAAAAAACTGGCGAGTAACCACCGCTCTTTCTATTCGTCAGCCACCATTGACCACCAGCCTCCTTAGCGACCAACCAACATTAACCAACGCCCATCATCACCACCTGCTGCAACCCACCACTAGCCATCGGTGACCACTTCTTGTAACCATTGCTGCCAGAGCACGATCATTGTTAAATTTCTAACACTTGTATTTTTTTTAGCAATTTAAGAACAAATATATTTTTTAGTGTAAGATTGTAACCTCTTTCTCTCTATCATGGGATAAGGGGGTACTCGTATAATTACAAAAGTACGTTGGATTAATTTAATCGGACTAGGCCCCATATTTTTTTCCTCTTCATAATATTTTCGCTTAAAAATTTTAGACAAATCATTTTGGTATTTGTTTACTTGTGTGTAATGAATTTTCAGACAATGTTGAAACGATAAATCATTATTCTATCGCAGTGAATTTTCTGACCACAATAAGTAATATTTTTATATATTGTTAAATATTTGAGTATATTTTAATTGTTAAATCAAGATTTGTTTTGCGAGGCATTCCCAATGATTGAAGCTGTAAAAATTTTGAGAATGAAGTAGAGAGAGAAGAAAAAAAATAAAAGAGCGCACATAAAACTTCCCAAGCAAGAGGGAAGTAGGGCATTCCCGGGCTATGTGACCCATTTTATGGATCAAGATCTCCTTACAAAGATCAAGACTCATAAAAGGGAATAGATATCCTTACAGAGTACGTGGAGTACGTATCTAGAGAAAAGAGCCGAAAATCCTAGAGAAGCCAAAAGCCCACACATGCATATCATGGACCTTCCATTTATAGGATCATGGACCTTCTATTTATAGGAGATAGAGGGCAAATAATGAAAATTACATGCATACACATGCTTTTAATGAGGGCATTACGATACATTATTGCATTTTATGGTGCATTTTCATATTTGTAACCGATTCTTATTTCTTATTGACACCGGTTCACCTTTTATGTAGAAATTTAATCAGATTTTTGTTAGGATGTCGTACGGTCTTCACCCTGAGAAGTTGATCAATTTTGAATGTGATAGTCATCGGCTTTTTATGTTACTTTGTGATCTGTGGAGATATTTGAGGGATTTTCTTAGAGTCTCAAATTTATAATTATGTGATTTTTGGGTGTACTAGACCTTTGTCAGATTGTTGGCGTGAATGCATGTTTCTTGTTAACATAGATCATCCTTTAGTCATTGAACTGAAATTCAGTCGATCGTCAGCCCTTCGTTTGGCTGGCTAACAGCCAACTGGAGGTTTATTAATCAGGCAAATTTATGAGTACTTGTATTTTTTTTGTTAGAGGGATGATCCTTCTTTTTACTTATTCTAGTCTAGATTGTTGATTTTTCGTGAGATTTGAGCAAATTATTTTGGGTGCACATGTTAAGTTCCTCATATATTAAGTTCCGCATTTTTTTTGCTTCTTGATAGCGACAGCTATGATAATGACAAGAAAATTTTTAATGTAATAAATTGAATATCAATAGTCATAATTTAGCGTAATGATTCGACTCTCCAAGTTTTTCATGCTCATTAACCTTATATATAGATGTAGGGGGTAGTTCTTATCATTTCAAGTTTGTCTCTCATTGCATTTGCTTGGTTTTTGTAATTTATTTAAAAATAAAGGATCTGATTTGACATTAGAACTGTCAACCGGGCTAAGATGTTGGCTGCCCTTGAAGTAAAGCATCTCCAGCCTGAAGGCGAGTCGAAGAAGAAGTTGGTGAATGAGCCAAAACCCTCCAGGTGAGTGTAGATAGAGGAGTCACCCAGAAAACTCTAGTGAAGTTTGGGTGGCTTAAGGACCAGTCCATCAATGAAGTTTCCTACTGAAGTTTGGGTTCTACCTAGAATTGTCAGTGTTTCTCCACCAAATGGTGTACCAGAAGTTGGGGGGAGTGATAATTCATTTGACAATAAGGAACAAGTTGATGGCTTCTCATCATTAGATGTGAGTAGAGCTACCTAATCCAAGGTGAATTGAATCTTAGGTACAAGATTTCCTTTTTTTTTACTTGGATTTTTTTTATTCTTTGCCCATCTATTTTTTTTCTTGTGGAGGAGAACACACTGATCAGGGGTTTGCTGATTGTTAGTGACAACCAAAATTTGATTTTGTTAGTCGATTGAATGCCCCAAGCACCGACCAAAAATGAGAACATGGTCAACTTCCCAAATGATCCCATTGAGATCTAGGAGGGAATGTTTGAGGGATGCTTGATTTCCTCAAGAACCTTGACCCGCTTGTTGTCAAGATGAGTTGAAAGTTGTTATGGCTTGGTAGGATCAGGATCTTTGTGTGGTGCTGGAGGAGATGCGAGGGGAGGCAGTCAATCTTCACTAAGAAGTTTTTGAACTTCGGAAAGATGCTTTTGTGTTGAAAGCCCATTTTGAGGTCAAACTAGCGATTTAAGCTCGGAGGTCACTCGGTGGTCAAATGTTGTATAGGAGGCTTGTAAGGATGGGTTTGGTCCTAACCAAGGAAATTGATGACCAGTTTATAAAATTCCTTTTATCAGATTATAATCCAAATATAATTTTCTTTTCCTTGAAATAAATAAAATATTTTGTTTTCTATTTCTTTCAATTATTATGTTGACATGATGTTTTCTCTCAAAATCTTGGACTGACATTTCCACTTTTGTCGAGTCTGAATAAATAGGGGTTGAGGGATTCATTAGAGCGCTTACTGCCTTTTCTCTCAAGATTACGTAGCTTGGTTCTTATAGTTTTGCTTCTCTTTTCCTACTTATTTTCCTCTTCCATTTATTTTCTGATGGCTCCAAAATGAACTACCCAATCCTTTAGTATGGTAGTTTTGGTCAAGCTGTCATATTATCTTTGTTCGAGGTTGCCTTCATAGCGGAATCCTTCATCTTTGACCCGACCATCAAGTTCAGAGTTGCTTGCTTCGATGGGAGAGTGACTGGCAAGTTTAGGGAAGACTCAGTGGTCTACCGAGATCAATTCTATTATGAACAGCGGTTGCCCATATGTCAGAAGTTAAGGGCCATTTTTATTTGACACAAGATCATTCCATCTTAGATTAAGCTGACATTTATAACAACAATAATGGCCTACAATATTTTTTATCGACGGAAGGGGAACTCGTGGTTGATTGATCTATTCAGTCGCATGTTTTCTTTATGTGTACACCCAAACATATACGTTTAGTTTGGGAAACATTTAGTTTGGGAAAAATCAGTGAGTTTAAATTCTCTGGGTAGAAAAAAAAAAGTTGTAGACTTTACGAGTAAGTTTTTCATTACCTCATCATCTAAGAATTGGGGGCATCAGATTGAATCGATTGGAGATGACAGGGGTCGAACTGGCCTCCTTTTTTAGAGGGGGCAAACTTATTATATAAAAAATAAAATGGCTTATCCTGTGTTATGTCCTTGATTTTTCTTCTTGCGGTAAGATTGTCCTTGCTTTTTATTCTCACACTGATGCCATTGGAGCAAATCTGAAGAATGATGGGGTTAAAAAGAGCGGGGGCGCACATAAAACTACGAAGTGGGGTATATTTTAAAAATGCATGACAAAAAATAATTTTTTTGGCAAACCCCCTATCTATGGGTGATGCCTTCAAGAGGAAAAAAAATAACAAAACTACTCTCAAGACAAGGGGGCAAATATTGATGGAAAAATGCTCTCAATTCCCTAAAATACGGATCTGGTAACTGTGATTCAGGTCCTGTTCCCGGGAATGTTAGATCGGATAACAACAGACTTATGGGTTGCCTCTGACTTGAGTTAGAGAAAGAAGTCTCTGCTCGAACTACCAGGAAGAAGGCCAATATTGAGGCTAAGGCTGAGGCCAAGGTAAAAGGAGCCTCTAGGCAAGAAGTGACAACAACCGAAGTGAGGTCAACTAAGGCCTGTGGTGAATTTGGTCGACTCTGTAGGTGAGGATTTTCTTTTCTATATTTTTGTAACCACAATTGTGATCCAACAAATTTCAACTAGTGAACTGACCATCATTGCAAGAAAGCATTCGACTCATGCTTACTTTGATACATATCTCCTTGATACAACTCCTTTAGATAGATGAGAAGTTGTGGAGCCATCCGGCTACCCCGAAGAGGGCGGTGCTGAGGAGGAATCTTTTGAAGAACGGGCGAGAGCATAGTTAGCATCACCTTGCCAAGATCATTTATTACTTGCTTTGTCTTCTAGAAGTGGATCAAGTTTTGAACAGATCCAAAGGTGGTGTTTCCAAAGAAAATGTTGTATCATGAGAGTGAGGAGTCCGTCGCGGATATATTTGTTGAGAGTTTTTGAGAGCCTCACATTGATACTCGTGTAATTGTTGGGTATAATAGATCTTTGCTCGGTTGTTGGAGTGAACGTCTGTTTCTTGTTGACCCAAGTAATTCTTTGGTGGTGACTGGCATTTGGTCGGTCGTGAGCCCTTTGTTCGGCTGATAGTTCTTCAATTAGATTAGCTCTAGATTCTTGAAAATCATTTTTTGGGTGCACAGGAACTAACTTTAAAAGTTAGATATATAAATATATGAAGATTTCGTGGGATGAATTTAAATCCTTTTTTAAGTCGGCTAGTTTTAAAGTTCCTCTTTCCTTCTATCACCGATTCAACGTTGCCATATCCCTTCCTTCCCTCCTTCAGCAGCCAGCATTCATCGCCAAGAGAGAATTGAATCGCTTCGCTTCCCGCTCAGAATATATTTTCAAAAGCAAAGCATTACTCTCCTCTCCGTATGTCTCCAAAGCACCCATTTCCCTTGTTAAATTTCTTACCCTCCCACCATCTTCTTTTCCATGCTCCCATACCCTATTCCCATCAATGGCATCCGAACGTATCCAATCCGCCACCAATGAATCCATTCCACCGCCGTCACCGCAGCCGCCGTCTGTTGAACGGTTCAAATACTCCACTAGGATTTTGCTCCGATCGATTTTGGGTCGGGACGATGGAGGCAAAGGGTTGGCCGGGCAGAGAGTTCAGGTTGGGGGATGGGTGAAATCTGGCGTGGATAAACAGAAGCCGAGTGTTCCATCGTCGACGTCGCCTGTGGCTGCGGCCCCTTCAGTCGTGAAGGACGTGGCTTGCTCCGAAGTTCTGGTTTCCTGGCTCCCCATTCTCCGATCGATTGCGAGGATTCTCACTGGCGGAGGATACAGCGCGCATTTTCTCAGGAAGCTGGACTGTCCAGGGAAGCCTGTGCCAACCGTTGGCTACTTGAGGATCAGTGATGGGTCTTGCCCTGCTAGTCTCGAGGTTCGGCTTATTTGCTTTAGAACAAATTTCGCTATTATCTGCTGTATTTTGTTTTGCAGTTTTCATAAAATTTGTGTAGGGTTTTTACCTACCAACCACCCAAAATTTTAAATATAACACAATCTAAACTTAAAATTTATATTTCAACAACCTAATATTTTATTTCCTTTTGAAACTGGTCAAACCTTTATATTTAAAGTTTTGGGTGATTTTTAGGTAAAGCTTTTAATGATTTGATTTTGAGCCAGTTGGGTCGGCTCATAAAAATTTTTGACTCGTAGCTCGATTTATTTATTTTGATTCTATCTCGATCAAAGCTAAAATTCGAATCAATTTTCGAGTGATTAAAGATATTCAGGGTAAATTTGTTAAATTTACAGCCTTAACATCACTGTGGATGTAAATGATTAGATTTTGACTCGAGTTGGGTTTGGTTCGAATAAAATTCGATCCAAAATTGAGTCATAGCTTGGCTCATTTATTTTGATTCAAGCGATCCGAGCCAAAATTTTGAATCAATTTTTGAGCGATTAACAATTTTTGAGCTAAATTTACAACACTATTTTTGAGTAAAATTTTCTTTCTGGACTTCGGATATAGTTCTACGTGCGGATTCCAGTAATATGCAGCCACGTGTGCTATATCGCAGAGATTATTGGTGGTTATTGAAGTGAATCCTCAGAGGTTATTAGGGGGTTATTATGAAGGATTATTTAAGTGGAACCGCGAAGGTTATTGGGTGGCTATTGCGGGGGTTATTGTGGGATTATTAGGGGGTTATTGTAGGAGGGTTATTGAAATGGAACCGAGTAGTTTATTGGGGTTTATTGCGGGGGTTATTGTAGGGAGTTATTGAAGCAGAACTACAGAGAGTTATTGAAGTGGAATCATAGAGGTTATTGAGAGTCTATTTGGGGGTTATTGAGTGGTTATTGGGTGATTATTGAGAGGGTTATTGCCGGGGGTTATTGAAGTGAAACCGCGGAGGTTATTGGTAATCTCCCAATAACCCCTCAATAACCTCTCAACAACCCTTCAATAAACTCTCAAATTCCACTCCAATAACTTCCACGGTTCTACTTTAATATTTTTTTAGGTGGTCACGATATAACACATGTGACGGCATATTTCTGGGAGTACACATGTAGTGTTATGTCCGGAGTCTGGACAAAAAATT